AACTTCAAGCACAGTAGGGGGGCCGGTTTAGCGACCCCCATTTTAGCGACATGCCCTGTTCAACACCACAAAATCGCGTCGCACCGCCTCACCCGGGGTAGTACATCTGCTCTAAAATGGGTAGTTCGGTTTTAGCGACCTGCCCTGCATAGCTAAACCGGCCCCCCTACTGAAACGGCAAGCGCGGAGGTGCAAAAGGCAAGGATACACACTGCGCTGCGAACAACATCCAATCATGTTAGAAAGGGCTCGCCCGAGAGACCTTAATCTACTATCTCCGAGACGTGAAAAACAAAAACTACCTGGTCCTGTTTTTTGCGCTTGCGGGGGGTTACTCTTGAGACGGGATGGATGCGAGGTGAAGGGGAAGCTAACCGTCAATACTACTGCTGAAACGGGTATATCAGAAACACGACAAGAGCAAAGAGAAGAGAGAGCACCATCCAGCCTCGGCTGGTCCTTGTCCATCGCAGCAGCAGAAGAAGAAGAAGAAGAGGAATAACATGTCCCCGCCCGTGGAAACCAGTATCTAGATATCTTCCGTAATAGTGGTATAGACGCAAATACAACCAGTAGACCCGATAGGCCTGCGAACAATGTATTATTCTCCCGGGAGGTTGCTCTTGCCAATTAACAGTTTTGTTGCAGCCAGAGAACAAAACACTCTAAACCGCGCTGGCGTTATCTCTCCCCAAGAGCAGCAGCAGAAGACGAACAACCGACCCTTTGTTCTCTTTCGTCCGGCCAGCCTATGTCCTGCCGGGCACCTTCTGTCAACTCTTTCTTCCGCTCCAGCTATTGTAGAACAAAAAACACTCACCACGCTCGAGACGCCCCTTGGCCGTCATCCATGGAAGAACTCCCCACAGGAAGGTGCCCGCCCCCCTGTTCCTCGCCTTTTCCTCGAACGAGCTGCTTCCCACCCTCCTCGCGTTGACGGGCACCACTACCACTGCCACTACCACCACTCCGAGACCCACCGCCGCCGCCGCCGCCGCTGCCGCCGTTCCCTTTCGCCCGCTTGCTGGACGATCGCTCACGGCCCGTAGGCGAACCCAGGCGCTTCTTCTGTTGTGCCCGGCCCAGCCGGTGGAGGGAGCGACGCGGTAGGGTGTGTGTGTGGGGGGGGGGTCAACCACGCTGGCGTCGTGAAAGCAGCAGTCAAAGATGAAGAAACGATATCAGCACGGTTCGTTCCAACGCAGCAGCTACGAAACGAAACTTGGCATAGTATATCTACCCAGTCTGCGTGAAACCGTCGTCAACATTCCTTCGTTCCGCAGAAGCCTTTCCTGGATCTAGCATATAGAAGTAGTAGATTAGGTAGGTGCAACGATGAGAGAATCACAGAGAGAGCACGCGTGTGTCCGCCAATATTTGGACACGCGTGTCCGGTTTCCCGCGATCGTGACGCCGCGACTGGGGGCAACGAGGTGCTGCAACAAAACTTAAAACCGTCCCTCAGGGAAGATATGACTATAAATCCCCCAAGATAGGAAGCAGCGAGATCAGCAACAGCTTGCGCGAGCAGCACAGCAGTCCTGCTGACTACAGTATCGGACCGCCATTGCATTTTCATGTGCTTGCAGGGGGAGGGGGGTGGGTGGTATGCTTGGGGGTTTCTCTGTCTTCCTTCTGTGGCTTTCTTCCCGGGGGGGGGGGGGGGCGACGTAGATTGAAGGGTTCATGCCTTCCGCTCTCTCGAGGACGCAACAGGGGATGCGCAGTCTTCCGTGAAATTTTCTCGAACACTGAGGTGTGTGTGTGTGTGACTATCCCGTAGTGTCCGTTACAAGATGGAGTGCATCTGCCTGCCGCAGAGAGGGAGGGGAGTTAAATAAACAAATAAACACGGACACGCAAACCGGGCAGGACTTTGTTTCATGGGTTCGCCGATATTTCTTTGTGCGGGGGATCTGTGCTGTACCCGAAAATATAACTTCACCAAAAATATTATTTTCGGGTACAGCACAGATCCCCCGTACAAAGAGCCGCGAGGCACGTCATGAAAAGTGCTAAGTAATTGCACTACAGTTATTTTCTATCCTATTTACAATTGGGGCGGGTTGACTTCCATCTCTTCCAGGGTATAGGCAAAGTGTCGATTACAGCAGTACTACAGCAGTGTGAGTAGTTCCGACGATAGTATCATCTGCGCTACACTCACCACCGCTTTCACACGGTTTTCTCTGCTGCAAATATAGAGCTGAGCACTGCTGTAAATAAAGAGCTGAGCATATTGTAGTGTAGGTTGTCAGTCGAGGTGCGAACACCGAAGCAGACTACACAGCAGTACACTCAAAAGGTCCAGATTGTCGCATATGCGCTACTGCTGTACCACACACAACAGTGTGCGGGGGCAAGCCAAAAAAGGCGGCGCAACATACTTAACTCGGCGTCCGCCAATCAGCGGCAGAATAGGGCCTCTATGTAACTTGGCGCCTGCCGTCTTTTTGTGTATAGTTTATTCAAGTTGTCTCGGCAATTTTACACGCTTTACAGCAGTAAGTAGGGGTACCGACCGAAAAAAAAAATGCCACTCAACTTTGCTGCAGCCTTAAAGCCGCAGCAGGCGATTACGAGCACGCCGACAGCAGCAGGCTGGGACCACTCGTCCAAAACTGGGCTGTCAGTAGTTTCGCAACCGCAATCCGCTGCTGCTGTTGTCGACAGACGGAGCATTATACCCCAGAGATCAGAAACAGCCGGCGTCCTCCCGTCAGACCGCCTCAAGGAACGTGATGGTGCTAATAGGAAAAACAAATACACACACAGAAAGACTACCCGTTCGAGATAAAGCGAGTATTTCAGATGGATCCAACCTAAGGGGGGAGGAGTCTGAAATTGGTGTTTATTGGAGTTGATGAGAAGTGAGCATTTATTATTATGTGCCAAAGAGGATGTCTGCGTGCGTATAGAAGAGGAGGCATGCGCACCGAGAGAAGGCAGCTGCTCGCAGGACATTCCGTTTGCGCCCGATCACGTTGAAGCATCATCAGTGCTGGAGTACAGGGACTGCTAAACGTACGAGTGGACAACACTGCCAGCTACTACCTGTTAAGACGTTCTGTTCCGGGGAGCTAGTGTGGAACGTGATGGTGCTAATAGGAAAAATAAATACACACACAGAAAGACTACCCGTTCGAGATAAACCCACATTTGAACGGGATGTAATGGTGCTTTTGCAAATTCTGTCCGTCGAAGTTGAAGAGATTCTGGAGTATGTAGCAGCTGCCGGTGTTTTGGTGGACGGCATCACTATCAATATGAAGACAGACTTTGCTCGTACGATGTACAGCAGTACCAGTCCTTCACAGTAAGCGTGTCCTCGTCCTTTCTCCATGTCACACGGGACAAGACTTTGCTTGGGGGATGTTATGTAAAATGCTACTTTACCTAAATAATAGTATCATGCAGAGGTATTGTGATTCGCACCACCTGGCATCACTGGTAACAATTCAGTGCATAGGCTTAAACAGACTCAAAATAAGCCCAGTACCCAGCATGTATTTCTCCCAATTAATGCTGCAAAGACTTCAATACACCCACTTCGACCGTGGTGATGTCTACATACTGCACATAGAACGGGCAGCCTCTTTTTGTACTCGCATATATATATTTTTATTCGTGCCGAAAATAATCTACCTATAATCTTGTGTAGACGTGTAGACGCTTTGCTGGCGGCGACACACCGCTGCCTGGGGTGTTTCCTTCACCATGGAGGTGCGCAACATGTTGTGTTGACTTGACGCCAACGGTATCCGACGGCGTTGGCTCACAGCAGTTCGGACGCCTCGAACCTCTTGGAACAAAGTGAATTTTTAACAAGGTGCCTCTTTCCTTGCGTCAAGGCCTTTCAGAAAATGTTGTCCCCCGAGATTGATACCGTCCCAAAAGTACACAGACGGAAAGAGAGAGATATCGGAGGGATAAAACAACGTCGATACAGCAGTAGTAAGGACGCCAGGAGCGCGTGCAGCCAGCCTCTTCTGCGTATACCACAATAAAAGAGGGGGATTGATTCATAAGTCCTCGCGGGCTTCGCCAGCGTAACAAGTCCGCTGATGTACACCAGTGCCGCAAAAAATTGCGCGACAAATTTTCAATATATAAAAAAAAAAGTAGCACAAACGTACCAGACACCAGCACCAGATTTCGCAAAAGCTCGTGTGTGATGAAAATTACCAGTAACAACAGGAGCTGCAGCGGTCTGCCATATTGCCCGAAGCCCTATTTAGTGTTGGATTGTCACCCGTAGCATGGAGGGTCACAAGATAGGTGTGATGCGTCTATGCCTGATGCGGCTGGGCAAGCGTGCGCTCGCTGTGCCGCGTCTGCTGCTGCTGCTGCTGCTTCTGTTGTGTATCGGTGTAATCAACGGTACACCGTTTGGTGCAGGAAAGCGAGAACGTAAGAATGCTTTGGGCTGGTTCAACTCTAAAAACAAGATACTTTTTGTACAACAATCTGCCTTGGTCGGTAACCCCGAGTCTCGCCGCGTATTTATTTTTTGCCCTTCAACGTGTGATGACCATCATACCATCATCTGAATTTGCATGTCCGATTCGGCGGCCAGAAGTTCTCAGACATGGATGGGCCACCATGAGCACCTGAAACCGCCAGTGGGAGGCGCGGGCTGGCTCACAGTGGCGCACGCACAGGGCAGAGACGCTCTCGACAGACAAGGAAAGTACCCATTATTAATAGTCTACATCCGAACTCGAAGTTGCCTGACGAAAAAGAAACACCCCAATTTGCTGCTGCTTGCAGCTCACGCAGCGCCGCGTGTACGCCAAGAGGTCTCGCCGGAGCGGTAGCTGCAGCGGCCTAAAGCGCGAGCGAGAGGTATCTTTCATGCCCCCAGCAGCGAATGGTGCGTTTCCTATCATCTGTGGGGGGTGCGAGCTGCTGGAGTGATTGGATTCAAGAGCATACGTGTTCACGGCTTTTTCGCATACCTTTCCTTCAATCGTGCCCTCCTAGATGGGCTACCTGACGGAACCAGGTGCCGAAAGGAGAAGGTATGGGGGATGCCTGCAGCGAGCGAGGCGTCGGGGGGAAGCTATCCCTTTCGTCGGCTTATCGAGTCGCTTCCAAACCTGGCTGGCTTCTTCCGGCGATGAGTTTTGTGCGTGCGTGAAGTGGAGAGAGAGAGCAAGGAAGAGAGAGAAAGCTCCCTGGAAACGCCGGAACTGGTCGCTAACGAAGAGCAACAAAAATCAGCCGTTTCATGTTTTCTCGACACACGTCACGCGCGAAGCAGTCGTCGTGCGAGAACGTCCACAGGTCGAGGTCGGTTTAACGTTTTATTTCAGTATCAATCCCCTTGTTCTTGCTGCCTAGACTAATCAATATCGCGATATCACTACGTGAGGTTCACTCCTGGCAAGAAACGCATAACGGGGTGCGCGCGATCTTTGCGTTCTCTGAAGGTGCAGGCATAGCTGTAAAAGCCGTTGAACTTCTTGACGCATCAGCGTCCGCGTGTGAGCGATCCCAACACCGCGGCCGAACGTGGAACGCGGTACACCCATCACTGGGCTAAGGGATAACTCGATTACATGTAGCATGGGGAAGACCACAGCCGAAGGAGGGGATGGTGGAAATAGCAGTCACATACGGACGTTCCTACGGATCCGACCCTCGAAGCGACCGTCGGGCTATATCAAGGTCGATGAGTTCGACAAGACCAGGCTAGGCTTCCACGTGCCCGTAGAGACTAAGGACGGGGAGGTGAGAACAAGGGATCGTAGATAAGCGTCTGGTTCAATACACACGCTACGCTACGTCAACAAATGCCAAATGTTATCGCAACGGTGATTTACGAATCCTGACATTCTCAAACAAGTGGTACTACTGTAGTGTACAACTGCTGTGGACTGGAAGTTTATGCTGTGTTGCCGAGAGCCTATTTCACTGCTCTGCAGCCACACGAGTAGAGGAGTATACAGAATGTGGGCAAGATTTCACTGCAGAAAAGTTCGTACTGTCATTTTATCTACACTACGATCTTGCCTTCCTAACGGCAAGCTCCGATCCTGGGTCGCCCATAAATTCTGCTCTTTACTCTTGGTAGTCTAAGCTTGTAGACAATGCATAGCGCATGTACATGTATGCATGGCTAATCCCGTTCCGTGCAATAATTTTCAAACACCACCATCGACCCCTGGCACAGTATGTCAACAACACCCGCACGTCACACAAGTTCAAGTTCGATGGGGTCCTAGGCGAGAAGGCAACTCAGGTAACATCATGTGCTCCAACGTAAGGTAGCTGCTGTCACAACTGGTGCCAATCTGTGTCGCATGCGGTTGCTGACAACAGGGCGGCAACAGCCAACGTACAGAGAGGGATAGCGTGCAACGCCACGAGGATGTATGTGTAGTCTAGACGCGGTATTGAGATGAGTGGTGTTCACGTTCACGGGGTCCGGGTTTTGTCAGCATCTCCCCAAGTGCTTTGTTTGTCAAGTTGCACCGAACACCCACATGTTGCTTTAGTACCTTCTCCGTCGGTTGCCTCATGGGAAAACTTTGTCTAGTATTGTTCGGGATGCGCATGAGCATTCGTGTGGTACTGAATATGCCCTGCACTGCTTCGGTACGATCAAGGAGAGTAGTTCGAGGTGGATAAAAAGCCACGGGGAGGCTGTTGTCTACAGACGGAGACTGGTCCTTCACCGTTGCCAACCGGCACCTACGTATCTGTGTACGCCCTCCAGCTGTTCATGGTTATCTTCAGCACTCTCAATGGTAGTTTCGTGGCCAACAGCGTAGGCCGTGTGGTCCACTCTTAGATGTGATTTACGTCTAATGCAGTGCGCACTCAAAGACAAATATCAACCACCAGGAACCATTCATCACCGGTACCTCCAACCACTGCGTGTCGGCCAATCAATGTGTATCGATCGCTAAACAGGAGGACGTGTTCGCCAAGATCGGAAAGGGGGCCGTATCCAATGTCCTCAATGGATACAATTCAACAGTGTTTGCCTACGGACAGACCGGGTCGGGAAAGACGTTCACCGTCACTGGCGGAGCTGAGAGGCGAGTCCACAATCCTTCACAGGCTTGGTAGCCCTTTGTCTGTGGAAGAGTCGCAGGCGACACGGCGTCCTTCGAAAGTGCGGACGCCGTATGCGTAAAAGACCCAACCCTGTATTTTTCCTCGTGTCGAACGGGTCTTCAAATGGGTGTTTTCAACAATTTTGTGCCACGTATCCAGAACTGCTAGAGACCTGGAAAACAGTACTTTCAAGGACGAGAGAGTAGCCGGTCGTCTTGAGATCTCACCGACGACCGCGAAAGATACAGATCTACTGTAGATTGGTATCGTTGCTTATTCTCCGCAAGGACAGAAGAATGTTTATATTACCCGGCTACGACAGAAAATTGGGTCATCAGTGTATTGAGACCGGATTGACGAGGGTGCACCAACCGACTTCCCAGAACCGGTTTCTTTCCTTCCGCAACGTGAAACTTCCCGACCGACGTTTCCTCGGGAGAGATCTTGTGAGTCCCACTCAACACGGCAAACGCTCATGGCACGCCACCACCCTTTTTCTGGCCTGAAAATTACACGACAGATACGTGGACCGCGGGATTATCCCTCGCGCTCTAAGCCTCATATTCGCAGAGTTCAAGGAGCGCAGCGACCAGCAGTTTACCTGCCACATTTCTTACCTTGAGATATACAACGAACAGGTACGCTCAGCATTGTGCTTGTGTGCTGTACATTATTCCATAATACGACTGGAGCATTGGCGGGCGTGACGCAGGAGTCTTTCGACCTGCACCAAAGTTGACTTCTGCATTGTGGAGGAGGGGATTAGGAAGATGAGGAGGATGAAACCTATTTTTTCAGGTTGTGCGACGCATTGGATTGGTTGTTTCTGGTGCATGATGAACGTTTCGCGGGTTAGATCTAGATTGGGTGCTGCTCACAAGGGTGCTGCGGACACGTTCACTCTTTCTTGCGCGATTGATCCCCCCCGACAATTTCTTGGTCCCGCCCGTAGGGCTTCGACCTGCTGGACCCGAGCCATGACTCGAAGAAACTGGAAGACCTAGCCAAGGTGGCACTCATGGAAGACGAGGACGGCAACATACATCTGAGGTATACAACGTACAGCACTGGCGGTAGAAAGGCAACGGCCACAAAAAGACATGAGAAAGTTTCCACCGAAGCAACGTCAACCTCTAAGCTGATACAAATCCACAGGGTTTACATCGTTTTTTCGTTGTTGTTTGTGGGCTCGTGACGGCGGTGAAACCGTCGCGGTTACGCGCAAGTACGTCCGTCGGGTAGAAGGAAATGCGGCGGGGACAACAACCGAATCCCCAGGAGTGTAGATATGTTTGATATCCCACTGCTTACAGGCTCTTCGCTGTACTGTCTATTCCTCGACCCCTTCCCCGCCGCCGACGCCGCCGGGCGAAACGAACCACCGCCGAACCGATCTTGCCCCTCAGAAACCTGTCGGTGTACCTTGCGGCGAACGAGGAGGAAGCCTTGAACTATCTTTTTTTGGGAGACACTAATCGCGCCATCTCGGAGACGGCCATGAACAAGGCTTCCTCTCGGTCTCACTGCATCTTTACGGTGGGTTGCGTTAGAAAGAGCGCGTGTACAGCATTTTTCAGCAAGTAGCGTGACGAGCTACATAGGTACGAAAGCCTGCGCCGTATGGCAAAGAACCCTCCGCGACTGGCGCAAGGGCAGGGAAGTTCGGATTTACACGCCACAATATACGTTCCAGATTGTTTTCCAGAGAAAACGCAGAACACTAGGAATGACACCCCAGGTTTCATGGACTCTGTAAGAACCAGAAAGCGCGATTGAACGAACTCTCGTCCGCCCACCCCTCTCCCTCTCCTTCAACGCAACGCCATGTTCTTAACCCTGCCATCATTTCGCCACGTTCACGTGCAGATCTCGGTGGAGGGTCGCAAGCATGGTTCTGACAAGGTCATGCGCTCGAAGCTGCACCTGGTGAGGGCCGAAGAAACGTTCATACTGGCTCATGCATAAGGGTAGAGTATTCTCCCAGACGGAGACTTGTTCTAGCATACGGCGTGTGTTGCACTGGTCCGCAATATAGCTAGGCGCGGCGTCTTCCCCCTTTTCTTCGTGGTTGCTCTGGCCAAGCCGCCTCCGACAAGACTGCTAAACCTGATGCGTATGCGTACACAGAGGACGGAGAATACGCATGAACATTGTGCTTTCGTGCGTATGCACTTGCAACAAGGGGGCGTGGCATTCGACACGGTAGAAGCCGTTCGCAACCATAGAGGATCGTTCCTCAGCTCAAGCGATTAAGTCCAGTGGCATCGACCTTTACGCCATGTACCACCATGGCACAAGGCACGACGTAGTAAGATGGGAGAGGCGTCCACGACTTTAATCACACGCACTTTTTAGCGAAAAACTGGACAACAGGTGTCAAAAGGACATTAGGTGTAAAAAGGTATGTTGTCCATCTGACCCGTCGCGGTGTACATTTGCGCACTGCAACGGCTGGCGGTTCAGTAAACGTTACAAACCTGCTCGAGACTCATCTTGCAAAATTCAGCGACTGGGCGTAATGTGGCATGCCGGAAATCAGAATCTAGGGGCGATTTTTACCGCCCTATAGAGAAAACAGGAACACGAGGCTTCCGAGAACCAAAAGGACAGAAGAGGCGGAGGCTCGCACAACAACTGCATCAATCAAACACAGTAAACACAACAGGAACCAAGAACACCCCATCACAAAATATACGCACAGGTTGACCTGGCCGGATCCGAGCGAGTGCACAAGACGCAGACGGGGGGGCAGACGCTCGTGGAGGCCAAGCACATCAACGTGTCCCTCTTTTTCTTGGAGATGGTGATCGTGGCCCTGCGCGAGAGGGGCGCTAAGGGCAGGCGAGTACCTTACCGTGCTTGCTGTCCGTTGACCTCCTCGCCCAAAACGGGTAGGTACAGGAAGCCTGCCCTGATTCACCGCAAGTGCCCTTGTTCTTTGCCTTCATTAGTGAGAGTTTAAATAGATCTTGATCTGCTTGTTGTCCGAGAAAGCTTCGTACTATTGTAGGCAAGGCCTAGTATTTTTTTAATCGGATGTCACCGAGGCTAACGCGACCGAGTGCGTATCTACGTTGTTTTTTTGTGCTCTATTTTTCTCGCCAGGCAACACATTCCGTACCGCAATTCGATGATGACCTCGGTGCTACGAGACAGCCTCGGGGGGAACTGCAAGACGGTCATGATCGCCACTGTGAACGCAGAGGCGGTGAGTGGTTGAGTAGAAGCATATCGAGAGGGCGGGGTTCTACAGATAGGGTGCATGCCTTGAGTTTTATCATCATCACAACCAAGAACTCTCCTGCTACGCATGGAGAGATCTAAAGGCGCATTGTGTATAAGCTAGATTGTGCAACGTTATCAACAGGTACCTCCCTCCCGCTCCTTCCCTGTGCTGACCCTCGAGAGTATGACCAACTTTTCCCAGAAATATGACCACCCTTTTTCAATGCACGACCACTGTCGTTCGGAACCTGATCAATTCCAGGCGCAAACGGAAGAGTCCATATCGACGTGTCGGTTCGCCCAACGAGTGTCGACGATCAAAAACGACGCCAGAGTCAACGAGGACGTCGATCCCGGGGTTCTTATACGGAGGCTCAGGTCCGATAACGCTACCCTCAGCGACGAGGTGGCGTTCTTGAAGGCGAGGAAAAGGAAAACGCCATCCTAGCCGAAGCCGTCTTGCACGGCTGTCATTACGGGCACTACCGTAGGTGACACCAGATATCACACCCCTGGACCGATTTTCAGAGCTCGACTACTCCACACGGCGAAGAACATGTAGAAGTATGATCCAAATCATGCGTTTTCGGAAGGTGCTCGACAAGACGGTTCCATCGCCGACATTTTCTGCATCTCCAATCTTTCTGCTGTGGAGAAATGGAGATTTGAAAAACTAGTCCAGGGGGTGTACTCTCTTGGTATGTTGTTCTTGCTGTCCACGTACGCTTTGATATTGCTCACGACCGCGGACTGTTTCGCACAATGAGCCACGACAGAGTGCGAAATTACGTTCAAACAGGACTGAGCCCGCCATGTTGAAACCGCGGCTTCTTTCAGGGGGAAACCGGCGATGGCGAAGAGCTCACGTCTGAGGAGGCCGAAGATCTCAAGGACAGGTTCGTACAACTAACTCGCATACCTCGACGAATGGCAGGGCAGCAATGGGACGTAGACACGGATAGCACAGGGGTGATTAGCGCCGACCCGTTCGCACAGTTTAACACATACTACGGATGACCCGGATGATGCACACCCAAGACGACACGGGGATGGGATAGAAAAATCTACATGAGACAACTCTGTCACGATCACTGCAACGGCACTACATAACCTGTCGCATGTCACTTTCCAAGCGTCGCTCCTGAGAAAGGTGCGGACGTTTGACCGGGACGATGGCCGTGGAAGTGTTACCGCGACCCATTCTCTGGCTACCATGCCCTTCGCTTCGACCTCCACCTCGTCGTCAGACACAAGCAGAATGCCTTCGTCAGGATGGAAACGGCGCTTGCTTCGCTCGGCTGAATTGAAACCACGTCCCACCCTCAAAGCGAAGGTTTCAGATACCGCTCTCCTCGGAACCACCAGAACAATTTTGCAATTGTCCTCTTGGGAAAAATGGGACGAGGACAAGAGCGCAAACAGCCTGCAGCACGTCGGTGTTGACCAAACACCGATTGTGCAGGGGTCCCTAATGGTACACCTGTCTGGGGCAAAGACGACCCCCACAAATCCCGACCACCAACGATAAAAAACATTACTCTTTGCCTTTGCGCACGTTACTCGGAACCACCTGTCTATTAGGTGCCGCGCGTTTGTCGAAGATCCCGCGCCGAGCGCACAGCTCAGCATCGGGGCATACACCCTCACCAAGCTCAAGCGCTGCTTCTCAGTGTTCAAGGCGATGGTGCTCGACGGTGGGCGGGCGTTAAGCACCGGGGGCGCGCACTCGCAAGGGCATGATATGGTTGGCGAGGGTGGGCCCGCCGGAGCGATGACGAAGCTAGGGGAAGGGTCTACGGGCGAGCTTGGCGGACAGGTGCGGAGTGGCGGGTATAGTCCGAAGAGCAGCCTTGTCAGGGAACATGATGTCGAGTTGGGGGTCGGATAATGAGAGTGCAGGGAGGGCACGGGAGGCGAAATGGTGCAGTCATTGAAGCGCCAGGTCTTGCACGGTTCGATGAACGTGGAGGCATTTTCATTCCTTGTGTGTGATGTCGGCGTTTTGGGATCATTGCGAACGGGGTGCTCGGGTGAGACTCGATGGACACGTCTCGGTTTTCAGGGAGAACGCAGGCAACGGAAGAAAAAGTCAGATTGGTCCAACATTCCCTTGCGTAACTTGTTTCCGTCTCTTCTCCAGTCAATCAATCACCACAACAAGACGAGGTGGGCATGCGAGAGTTGCGAGAGTAGGCTCGGTGGCACCTCTCTACCGTCTGCAGCAGGACTTTTTGGTTCAGTAGTCGAAGAACACTGCCTCCTGTCAGTTCCGTGTCATCATGAACAAGCTCAACTTATGCAGGAAACGTAGGGAAGCTGCAGATACTTTGGCTTCATCCAAAACAGGGACAAACCCTTCTGCCCGCTTCTACCCATCGTCTTTCCGGCGTGCCCCGCTGCCTTGCTTGCTTGCTCGTGCCTACTTTCTTCAATCGTGTCAGCTGCTCTCGCTCCGAGACGCCCTGCGGCAGAGGGACAACGAAATCGCAATCCTCGTCAACATGCTCAAGCAGGTGCGTTCGGGAGACGGTGTGCGTTTTTGGCAAAAACTTCAATGGTTCTTTTCCATAGAGCTTCCGCAGCCTCACCAACGTTCTCACGCACGGAAGGCTTCCGGATCAGAGGGTAAACTCTTTTTTCCCTTTGCAGTTTCGCGAGGATACCTGTAGGTTCTCCACGCGTGATGGGTTTCGTTTTCCACTCTTCTGTTCCTAGTGATGTTGGGCTAGGCGTGTTTTTCGGTCAGTCACGCTGTTGTTTGTCACTGTGTCGGTCCCTTCGGGAAGAAGCGACCACCAACTGTTTTAATAGCAGCTGATAATCCAACACTTCCCGTCACAAACGCGGCGTCTTGCATTGATATTTTTATTCCTCCCTTCTCTACACGAGAATTGCGGTTTTACGTCAAAATCCGTTCACCAAGCTTGAGAACATTGGGCTTTATCCTCCGATAGCCATTTTGGCTGTCCCATACCTCTTCGATGGAGCAAGAATACCAAGCCGCAGGGTTTCTTTGCCGTATGCACCACTAATAGGAACGCCAAACGTCAGCGTACCAGTTGATCACGCAAGTGATTCCATGTTTGTGAGAAAAAAACAGTTGGAATAGTCAATCTCCTCGAGTCGTGGGAAGGAAGGCAACGCTGGAGAATCTCCTCGGAACGGTTGCTAAATGACAAGTGCGTACGATTTAGCAGAACGCTAGAGGAGTCCAGAGTCTCCGGAACAAGGGCAGATCGCCCACGCAACCGCCGTTCATAGCCTACCCCCCCCCCCCCTCCGATCGGGCCCGTCCTAATATCCAAGGGGAAATGCCATGCATGCGCGGCAGCCCCCTCCTCAGCGACACCAGGAGCAACGACAGGAGGGGGGTTGCCGCCAAACCGGCAGCACGACCCTGGTGGGGAGAACGCATCGCCTCAGCACCACAATCGGCGGAGCCCCCTGCCGGGAGCCGCAGCTGTAGGCGCCGCCACCGGCGCCAGTGGGGGGAAGTTGTTGGCCAACGGCGAGGGGGCAGGGCGGGTGGTAGTCGCGCCGAAGGGGACGGTGGGGGGGCGAGACGCTGGTGGACGGCATAGGGGTGGTAGCGTCAGTGGAGTGGAGCGCCCAAGCGACGCCAGCGTGCTTGGAGACCCTCAGAGGGCGTTCGGGTACTTCAGGGAGAGGCACTCGGGTAGGGTCGCGCTGGAGGAGAACAAGAAGCTTCTGGGGGAGAAGTACGCCAGGGCGAAGGTTCGCTTTCATATCTTGTTTCTGTGGGGGCGGCTTCATATCTTAGCAGTAGTGAACCATGTTCGGCTTCGAATACATCACGACAGTACGACGACAACAAACGCATTGACGAGGCTAGTGAGTGGTTGGGTGTGTACGGTGGGGAATGTTCTCGAGCGAAGATCACTACCCGTGTTTTTCCCACAAGTAGCGAGGAAGGCAGCGTTTTGGTGTGACACCTGGCGGATTTTGACAGCATAAAAATCTCCCAAGGCACACTAGAATGACTGACTAACAGAGGGAAAGCGAGAGGAGAAAAACGTATGTCAGTTTCACGTCGGTTAAATATGCTCACTGAGCGAAGGCAAGGGTGGGCTTGCTCGTCAAATCCCTTTCTCTCCTTGGGCCCCACCACAGGTGGCGTTCTGACAGGGGTGGGGGAAAGAATACGCCCTCTTTCCACCGCGCCGAACGTCGTGCTCACTAGAAATCTTGACACCACCCCCAAAGGTTGAGTTATTTGATTCACTCACAAGTCCGCTTGATCTTACACTACCCCCCCTTAATGTGTGGTGATATTTTCCGATGCTTTTTTGCTGGGTGCCGGCGGTTACGCTGCAGGCCATGGGTGAGCGGGTCAACCAGGCCCGGAGCACTATCCAGTACCTGAAAAACACTATCGAACAGGTGAGAACCCAAAACAATCGGCGCTTCGAGATGAAGTACCTTAGGTATTGTTGTCGTGGTGTGCTTCAACCAAAAGTTTCTCCAACAACATAAACGTTCCCACGTCAAAATGATAGGTGACAGTCCGGTCTGCTGTTTGCAGCACGGGAGTCTCTTTCGGAATTTTGACATCGGAAGCATCTTAGAAGGCTGCGTGAATGCACAAGGGCAATATGGTTGGAGTACTCAATGTCAACCATTAGACCTGCACATGAAGGGCCTTAGGTGTCCGTAGCAGTATATTCTCTAGGAAACAAGGCCATTTTTGTACATTCTCTAGGTACTTACTTCATGTTAAAGAAATCCGCCAATTCTTCTTTGTAAAGGCCACGTAATGAGGAGTCGTGTTCCGCAACACGTCGAGAGGCGCGTCCTGCAAACGTACGAAATTCTTCACTCTGGGTGAGCTTGCTCCGTCCACAAACTTTCCCGGTGAAAAAGTCTTCAAGGGGGCGACGCAAAACGTCCGACAGTCCTCCCTACACCCCCGCTACACTTTCCACTACTTCAAACACATCACACACCCGAAACTCGATATCACGAATCCTTGGGTTGGGGATCCAATGAGCCAGTGACATGACAAAAAATGTGTTCTCTGGGTGCCAACGTCTTTTCCCGCTATGGAATCCTTACTGGTACTTTCCACGTCTACACTCGGGGAAAGGTCACACCCGTCATGCTATCAATTTCTCTGCACCTCCTGACTACTCACGCCCCCTCTTCCGCAAACCAACGACGACCACCCCACCCCAAAATGATTGCGGCTGCTCAGGTCCGACGAGAGCGAGCCTTGGACGGCCTTATGGAAGAGGGGAGTGTGGGTGGTAGTAAAGGGGACGACGAAGATAGAAATAGCCGGCCGCAGGTAGGCTTGGGCGAGGAGGAAGATGAGGAAGAAACCAAGTGCAAAGCGGCTATAGAGGTCGAGAAAAGGGTCTACAAGGGAAGCTTCCAGGTATGTTCCAACACGCCTTCAGGGGGGGTACAGATGCTGCCAAGCGAGTGATGCCGCGGGATAGGATCACCAAAACTCGTCGGCGGATATAGCGCGGAGAAAACAGTTGTGGTACATCATAGTCTTCTCTCGGAAACCGTGGGCATGTGTGTAGAGAGGAACGTTGGTTCATGGATTCGATAGCAAACGCTAAAGGCATGATGATCACCTGCCGCTCGCACGCACTAAAGATCTTCTCCTCGTTACTCTACATCAATGATCCCCCTCAGTTTGGCTAGACGGGGATGAACGACACTACACCGAATGGCATGAGTTTTCCCGCACATGTGCCGTCGAACAAGACGAGGAACACTTGAATTTGACGCTACTTGAGGAACACGTGACCTCGACGCGGCTTGCGTAACGTTGGTGCGGTCAGCACGCATTTCCGAATGGCTGGGAGGTTTCCCGCCCCTGTTTTATTTAGTGTAGAAATACCGCGCGACACTAACCCGGATACACCCCCCACACTCCTTGTCTTTCTCCCATCCGCCCCTTTTGTTAACCCGATGCCACCACAAAGGAACTGAGGGAGCTCAAATCCGAGATAGAGCATATTCAACGCCTGCTAGAAAAGGGCCGGTAAGTGCGAGAACGCCAGGAGAAATAAGTACGTGATGTTGTGTGATTCCTTTTCGCAACCAGTAGAAGCTGGTGTGTGGATGACGTGGTCCAATTTCGCTCTCCAGGCGCTAGAGGGATGATCCATGCTTTTCGACGTGAAAAAGTATGGGCTGAGGTTCCACATCATTTCTCTTTTCTCCTTGAACTGGCCTATCTACTTTTGAAGCACCTACCTACTGCACGGCCTTTTGCCTGCCCTATTGAAGAACTGCAATCCAGGGTCACACGGAAGAAGTTCTCTGTGGAAAAGGCTTCAAAAGTACCACTGTAACAGGTTCAACAAAAACTGTACTGCACAAACGGGTACCTTCTGGACGAATATTTGACTTCCGAAATCCCGTTGTACAACTCCAACTTGCGTCATGGCATCCACCCCATCTCGCCGTATGAGTATCCTACTCGTCCCCCATCGTGTAGATTTGCCCCCCCCATAGACAAAGCGGCCGACAGTCTTTTGACTTGTCGTAAACTTGACTCGCCATACCTCCACCCTGTGGCTTGGTCACTCTCGTCCACAGATCAAAAATGCAAGCAGATTTCCAGGCGTGGTACGAGCCTTTAGCTTGCTCTGTCGAGGAAGAAGACGGGGCGGTGGCCTCCGAAGGTAATTGCGCCCTCGGAGAAGGAGGGACGAAGCCAAAAGCCCAAAGTTTCGGGGGCGGCGATGACAAACCCCGGGGGGCACATCACCACGCCCCTCAAGGCCACCGACAAGCCGTCGTCGGGAAGACAACGCGAGAGAGGCAAAGCGAGGAGCCAGCGGCCTTTGACGGTAGCGGGAAGGATGGGGCCAACACCCCCACGAGAAGGCCGCGGCCTCCGGTGGACGCCTGGGGAACTCCCCCGGACTCTACCAGCCGTCGGAGGGGGCCTCTGTCTTCCGTGGCAACCGGGAGCGTTTCGGGCGGAGATGGTGGCGGTAGCAAGACCGAGTCCGCCCCGACAAGCGGTGGTGGGAGAGGAGCATGGCATGGTGGCGCGGGAGGAGGAGGTCTGCTCCCACCACTTACTGGTGAGTTGGCGAAACCTACGCCAAAGGAAGCGTGTTTGCAACCTGTGTTAGAGCATAAACAAACCTGGCGTGTTCATGCATTGGGCGAATAGCTGGTGCGAAAACGATGCCGTCAGTCCCGCCCTGTAGACCAGAGAAACTTTCCTGGCATTCCTGACATACACGTGCTAGAATAGGAAAACAGTACCAGCCACAACGATGACAACAACCTTCTAGGTACCACCAACCCTTTCTTGCACTTTAGGGAAGTTTTGTACACTTATTTCAACCCACTCTACACCCCCACGACGCGAACCAGTGGTTGACGCGCGACGGGCCTGTTGACTCGACTGTTGGTTTCCTTGGCGGCTTAGGGCTTCATATCAAACGTATGTCTGATGCACTATACCTCATGGGTCGATCGCCGCCAGAAAGATCATAGGCCAAGGGATACTACCTCTTCTCTTTGGGTAAGAGTGAACCCTGTCACGGTTGTCTAGAACTCTCCACCCTTTCTTGTACAATTTTCAACTATCCCAAATATGTTGTCCACCAAAGAACCTAACCGGTACCTTCACCTGCATTGCGCATTCAATCGAACGAGATTTTGTTTTCTTCTTCTTGCCGACCGTAATTCTTTACTCTCAGGGAATAAAGAGGCCGACGATGACATCGCTGCTTTCTATCGCGCCAAAGAGGAGTTGGAGCGCAGAAAGAGCGCTGCCGGTAGAAATAGCGGGGGGAGATGATACTGTAGTAGTTTCGTTGGGTATGCCGCTCCGAAGGCTGGTTTTTCATGCCCTGAAACTCTTTCACTCGATTATTCCGTGTAAGAGGAGCATGATCGCGTCGAGGTGTCGATGGTGCTTTGGTCGAGCGGTGCTGTGCAGTTTTCAATGATGCTTTTGGTTTTTCGGGGAGTGGCGTCGGACCCCCGTTCGGCAGTCATCCACGTAATAAAACGTGCAGAGCTCACACCGTGTTGGTTATAAGGTACATATTATATATGACGCGAGCACTGAGTTGTGCGGAGTGGGGATATCGTGAGTTTCTGCGTTAGCGCTGGCTGTATTCATGTTGCTGACAACCCTATCCGTCCGTCTTGAGGGTCTGTGTTGAACGGCAACCAACCGTCGTTGTCGCGTCTGTTCATCTGCTGTTCGTTGCGATTAAGGATTAGGATTATTATCGCTGGCCTGCCGTCTGCCTGAATTGGCGCCATTTTTCGTTCTGCGCATGCATGCAGTCGCGGTTGTTGTTTTTGAAGGTGGAGTCTATTGTCGCATTCGCCGCTGCCAAACCCGGAACAAAGTATACCCTCATTTCCGAGAAGAAAAAGGTCTGGGTTGAGAACACCATTCGATTCGGCAAAGAAAGTCGTTCCCGCATGTCCGTCGTGTTTTGAGGGAGGAATGGTCACTTTCTGCCACACATTTATGTATTTCCCAACGAGACTCTCTGGGTATCACATGCCGTTGAGGTGGAGGTGTTGCCTATTACTGCTGTATATACACGGGTACTGTAGTATGCCTATCTTCGAGAAGACGTTGATCGGTTACAAGTTCGCTGGAATTACATTGTACACGATCCCCACACCCAACCTTCACCTTTTAATCTAAGCACCTGCGACATTTCAAGCTGAGGGTTGCTGTTCTGTTTGGCCCTCTGCCAAGACACACGGAAGACACGCCGACAACGTGCTGGCTCGCTTTGCCACGCGCAGTCGCGTGCAGTCTCCCCAGCCACAAACCAGTTTCTTTTTTTGAACCCAACACCCCGGCACCCGCTCACCAATCGCCTGTTTCGAGTGAAAAAAAAAAAAAGTCGACAGTCCGCTGGGAAAAAAAAAAATAGACCGGATTGCGGGACTACGGGAGACACGACATTTCAGACAACTGCACGAGGGATGAGAGGGGCGAAATCGGTTACGGCGGTGATGGCTCTGTCACAGGGCTCAGTGCGAGGTGAGAGTTCGGTAGAAGGCGCAGAAATAGGCACTCAAAAGCTGCACACAGCGGCGCGAGATGACTCTGTTAGGTAGACATGACGTGGGATTCGCCGTCAGACAGCGAACACATCAGACTACGGCCGTGTGAGAGCGTTGCCTGCTGCTGCTGGTGCTGCTGTGTCAACGTGCCAACACACCCACCTGCTGGGAGGATGCGGTCCCTCTCACATCGCCACGAATGCACAGCACAGCACCAACTTAGCAATCTGCAATACTAGATTAAAGGGTGGCCTCTGGCACGCACACGTGTTCCCAACGCACGCTGCAAGGTGAGTGCAACACCAGTATTTGTAGGTAAACATCGCACCCAAACCTTTTGACCCGCCTGCAGTCGTCCCATGCGTTACACGCAGCCGTCGGCAGATCGTTCCCAGCCTCGCCGCAGCCTCCTCCCCCCGCCCCCCCCCTTCCTCTCTTTCTGTTTTACTCCGGTCGCTCGTAGTGACATGTGTGGCGGATAGTGGGTATCACGCACACTGCAGGTGAGAAACATGTTGAACTGCAAAACACAGTGCCGCCGCAGCACCAACACCGAACACCAGCAAGACACAAACATACCTTACAGTACGGATGCCTGCTCGACGACGCGTTCCACGACTACAGCCGAACACACTAACCTTCCTTTGCCATCATGTAGTGTGGCCGTTTCGTGGAACCTCGCGGTAATGGTACAGTCTACATTAGGTCTGCAGCCTTCGACCGCAGCAATGTCACAGCATGCCTGCGTGTGTATCCGCAACCGAGATGCACTCGGTACGTAGACAAACCCCAACACATCCTTGGTCAATGTCGTTAACAGCAGTACTCCGGAGCGGACCGCGAGTATGTCTGCTCCATAGGCGCCATGTGGAAAGATTTACCAAAGGAAGTCTGGTACCCTCCTGGTTGTGCTATGCTACAATGCTTTTGGTTACCCGTAAAACTTGGATTTATTACTGCTGTTCGTCAACGTGCTTCGACACTAACAATGGTACGTTTCTCACGTCTACAACCCTTGGCATGTGCCCTTGCATACCATCCGTTAGCATACTCATTTGTTTTTCTCCACTCGAATACCTGATATTTGCTTGCACCCCCCCAACCCCCGTGGAAATGCTAGCGCGGAGGAAGAGACGTACAAAATGTGCCCATGGGCCACGCATTGCAGGCGCCGTCTCTCCGCGTCTAATACAATCCCACCTAGGCTCGATTCTGAAGGTTTTCAAGTGTACCACACGTTTCCGGGATATATGTTGTCGCACCAGCCGGATTTACACAAACACCTGTTGTTATTTTAACCTAGCCATCAGCACCCCAAGGCGACAGGACCTCGCACGATACTCCCCACAGCAGTGTTCTTCGGGAACCCTCCGAAATCACAGACTCCTCAGTGATTGGCTGCCATCGACGAAAAGCGACGATCACGTCCCTTACGCACAAGACCAGTCCTTCGCCGCCTCGTTGTGATACCGCCCCCCTCGACTATGTTGGTTCGCCCCCCCCCCCCCCCCCCCCCCCCCCCCCC